CCTCTTCTTTGATCGATTTCCTCCACGATGGCCGCAAGAGGCCCCCAGGATGCCCCAAGAGGCCGCAGGATGGCCCCAAGATGGCCCCAAGAGGCCCCCCAAGAGGCCCCCAGGAGGCCCCCAAGAGACCCCCAAGAGGCCCCAAGAGACCCCCCAGAGGCACCCAAGAAGCGCCCAGGAGGCCCCAAGAAGCGCCCAGGAGGCCCCCAAAGGCCCCAAGATGGCCCCAAGAGGCCCCAAAAAGCCCCCAGGAGGCCCCAAGGAGGATCCCGAACGGCCCACAGAGGCCCCCCCGAGGCACCCAAGACGCCGAAAAGCCCCTCAGGACGACCCTCTACTCGCCTGGGCGTCGTTTCTGGACGGGCTGGTGGGGATACGCGAAGCGTCTAGAATTTAAATGAACACGGATCGGCGCAAAAAGGCACCTGGCGGGCGACGCGACTAGCACAGTGAGAGAAGGCCGTGAAAAGAAAAAACGTAGGTAGAATAGTAGGCGCCCGCCAGGTAACGCAGCATGTGCCTGAGTGGTGAAGCCCAACACAAGTAAGCCAAGAAATGCATTGTGATGCCAACGCTCGTTAGGTACCAGTTGCGAACAGTGCAAAGGTACAAACGAACGAACGCACGGGCGCCGCTTTGAGTGTGCAGTTCTAGGGTTGCTGCCCAAGGATTTGGTTGACCCCAAGCCGTACGGAAGTGCTCGCCCCTCCATCACCGTCCTCAATGCTAAAGACTGTAAAGGCTGGCCTAGAAGGCTGGTCCGTGTGAGTACCTGCTGCCGTCCATAGTCTGAGCTTAAATCAACCCAACGCATGTGACAACAGTAGATAAGAGACATTATGCAGCTGAATTCTTGCCTGGCAGTCGGGATGCCGAAAGAGCGGAAGCGCGAAACCAAAGCGGGGGAAGCCCAAAGAGCCAGGCGGCCAGGGCGGGACACAGCGGGTAAGGAAGAGCCAAAACAAACTCGCAGGATATTCAAAGATAAGGCAATGAGAATGGGACGGAGGAACATATCAGGCAAAATCCCAGCTCCTCCTCCTCCTCCTCATCCTCCTCCTCAGTGCTCGCGTGCTCGCCGCCTCCACCACCGTCCTCACTGCTGGAAACTGCAAAGGCTGGCCTAGAAGGCTGGCCTGTGTGTCTACTGCCGTCTATAATATGAGATTGAACCAGCTACACATGCGACAACAACAGAACAGATGCATCATGCAACTCTTGTATTGCTTCACGGTCGGGGAACCGAGAGATCGGAAGAGCAAAACCAGAGCGGTGGGGGCCCAAAGAGCCCGGCGGCAGGGGCGGGACACAGCGGACGGGAAGAGCCAAAGACATTCGCATAACATTCAGAGATAAGGCAACGAGAATGGGGAGGGAAAACGTTATCAGGCAAAATCGCAGCTCCTGCGCATCCTCCTCCTCCTTAGCGCTCGCCCTCTTCCACCACCGTCCTCACTGCTCAGGGTGTAAGCGGCTGGCCCAGAAGGCTGGTCGGCGTGAGTGTCTGCCGTCATCTAGAGTCTGATCCTCCAGCAGCCCAGCACACGCGACAGCAGAAGACGAGGGACGGCAGGCAGCTCTGATCTCTCGTTTGACAGTCGGGGGCCCGAACGAGCGACAGCAGACAAGAGACAGCACGCAGCTCCTACCTTGCTCGACAGCCCGGGGGCCCGAAGTAGCGGAAGCGCGAAGCCAGAGCGGGGGGGGGGGACCCCACGAGCCGGGCGGCAGGGGCGGGGCACCACGGGGGACTTGGAGAGCCAGACGAGCTCGCCGAGTAAGCAAAGATAGGGCAGCGAGAATGGGACGATCCATGCTCCTCGTTGTTCGGTGTGGCTGGGGCCCGCAAGCAGGAAAGCGGCGCCCCCGTCCCAGCCACTGACAGGAAGGACGCGGCAACGGAGGGGGGAGCATTCCCGAGCGTTTGGCACGGGCAGTCAGCACGAAGATGCGACTGGCAACAGAGAAGAGATCCCCGAGCGACCGAACTGGATGATCAACCTGCGGGTGAGATGCGTGCGATCGGAAAGCGGAGCTGCCCAAGCGAAATGGGCGGGGCCCCGCGGGCGGGAAGGCGGCGCCCCCGTCCCAGCCGCTGGCGGTCCAGGCGGCGCTGGAGCCCGTGGGCGGGCGGGCCGAGTCCCCATCCCAGCGCCGACGCGGCCGCGCTTGGCGAACATATCATTCTCTTGCGCATCTGTGTTCTAGAGCTCGGACCTCTTTATTTTCGTTCGTCGTCGTTCGTTCGTTCGTTCGTCGTTTGTCCGCACACCCCCAGCCACAGAAGGAAACTCCTGGAGGAAGGAGGCTCGCAGCTCCTTGGTGCAAGAGCCAGGGCACGCGTGCCACTTGTATCCTGTGCCAGTAGATACGTAACCAATGTTGATCGCAGTGCCATGAGAGTCAAAATTGGCCCTGCTCGTTCATCCATCCTGCGCCATGGCTTCTCGGATTCATGGGGGGCGGCCTGGATTCGGGAAAGGGCGGACGCATGCACGATGTGACCGGGGTGCGGTCCTGCAGCGGCGCATTCGATCTTCTGGCGTCGCCGGCCTCCCGGGCTAGTTGTGCAAGTTCCTGGGAATGCTCACATATAAATTTGAAGAACCCTTTGAAACATTCTGACTCGCGCGTGCCTGGGTCGAATTCTGGTTGCTCGCTAGAGGGGTTCCGAACACAATATTGATCCCGCGCGCTATTCCATTCGGCGGAGCATTGCCGGCCTTGCGCCATGAGCCGCATTAGCTCCGCTTTGGAATCATCATGAGGTGTACTTTCTTCCGCGTGAGTCGGGAGGTCCTGCGGGCTCGACAGAATCCCAGCTACACCAGCCCCGCTTGGGGAAGCGTCAGCGAGATGAATTGGAATGACCATTTGTTTCATGTGAATGATTCAGTCGGATGGTTTGCGGGGCACTGTTTCCCAATTGAAATCTTTAGCGGTTGCTTATGATGGTTTTGCTGAATAGTCCACGTCTTCCTGAATTCTGTGGGTATGGTGAGGCAGCGGAGGTAATGGATGTGAAACCAAAAGGATACATATATATATATATATAAATATATATACTGGTAGTTGGCATGCAGCAGGTAAATGCCTTCGCATAGGTGAATCTTCTTTCGAGATGCCAAGCCGTGGGATGAGCGAGAGAAACTGCAGGAGAGCCCAGAATCGAATCGACAAGTCGGATCGGAAGTCGACATGAGTCGGACCGGCGGGAATCGGCAGCCGAATCGTGAAAGGTCGAATCGGCAGAAATCGGCAGGCGAATATGCCTCCAATAAGAAATCGGAACCCATAATGGATTCCCAAGTCGAATCGAATCGGAATCGGAAGCCATCGAAATCGAATCGAATCGGAGGAGTCGAAACGAGCCCTGAAACTGTGAAGCCCATTCAACGCCAACGAATAGTTGAGAGTGTGCGCATTCTTGTGTGACCAAAGACTCGGAGTCCTGCGATCGCGCCCTCAACGTTTTTTTTTATGGGTTTGCTGAGCTGCTGCGACGCCGTCGCAAGATCGCCAAGATTCGAGAAAAGTTGCAAAAAAACATTGCGAAGCTTTATGTTGCTCCCATCCTACTCAAGGACCGCATCCCATAAATAAGTTTCGAGCACCCGGAAAAGTGCCGGAAGAGTGTCCAAAGAGCGTCGAAAGAGTGCCGGAAGAACGTCTTCCAGGGCCCGGCACGTGAAAACCCTTGAATGTTTGTGGGTATTTTTTTCTGGCGCTCGAAATTCGTCCTGGTGCTCAGGGCCAAAGGAGGCTAATGGAGGATGACGATTAATAAATGACCGGGGGTCGTGTTCACGCGGCGGCGCCCGGGATGACGATTAGAAAACAAGCGGCCGCGGGCTGGAAAACTACTTTTTTTAATCGTTCTCCTCCAGTCAGAACGTTATGCAGAAGTAGCAGAAAACTATTTGTATAATCGGTCTTTCCCATTTTTTTATTAATCGTCATCCCGCATTAGAACATCATAAGCGAAGTGAGGAAAACGATGTGCGGGGAAATGGCTGCGCAGGGCTGGCAGAGCACGGGCGAGGCCGCGGCCACCTTCCCCTGCGGAGGTCGGCGCGCTGCCACGACCGCCTGACATGGCCACGGACTCCTCTCTCCCTTTTCCTCCTCCTCCTCCTCCTCCTCCTCCTCCTACTGATTACTCCTCCTGCCCCCCCTCCTCCTCGTCTTCCTCCTCCTTCTCCTCCTCCTCCTCCTGCTCTTCTTCCTCCTCCTCCTCCTCCTCCTCCTCCTCCTCCTCTCAAATGTGTCCTGGATGTCGTCTACGCGCCCATGTAGAGGCACGGGAAGGCAACACCACCAGGGCGAGGCGTCAGGGACTATCCTCCCCCCTCAGTCGAGACATCCCCTATCCCCAGCTCGGGGAGGCATCGCAGACACTCTCGCCCAAGGTGGCCCCCCTGGTGGAGATGGTATCGCTTCTCCCCGAGCGCTCGCAAATATGGCTTAGGGATCCGTAGATCGGACGCGCGGTCGCCCGATCCATGGATCGGGGAAGTCATCCGCCCCAAAAATAAAGCCAACGCCGCCCCATCTGGCGACTCACCGTGCCGATTCCGCTTGGGAACCGGACCCGTCACCAATCCACGCTGCCGTCGTCCATGTTTGCGTTTCCTCGACGCCCGACTTTGGGGGGCTTTCGATTGGACCAAACATTTTGGGCACAACTCTGGGGTAAACGCTGGCGGAGCCACCATCCTCGATAGGGGTGCGTCCGGATAGCCTCCTGAAGGTGTACCCCCTCCCATCCCCTCTCTTCTGGGCAACCTGATTTTTCGGGGGAGCCGCCAGCTTGCCCCCCGCCAGCTTCGCCAGCTTCGACAGCCGACAACGAAGACGACGACGACGGCGCTGGCGCCGACGACGATGACGACGAAGACGACGACGACCACCGACGACGACGACGACGACGACGACGACGACGACGACGACGAAGACGACCACGACGACCACCGCCGACGACGACGACGCCAGCTTCGCTCCTCCATCACGTTGCCCCCCGCCAGCTTGCCCCGGAGCGCCCCCCCGGTCCACTCGTTCAGCACCTCGGCGGCGGGCCTGCCGTCGATCTCAGCGACGAGGCGGCCCTCTGCCCTGGTTATCCTTCAGCGATTGGCGGTCTCATATGGTCAGATGCCCCCCTCCCGCCCACTGGCTGCCTGGCCGAGTGCCCTCCACTCTTCCACGCCCCAAGCACGGTGGCGTGACGGGACGAAGGCCGTAAGTACTCGTCTCTGGCTCCCTGCCCAAGCGTCTCCCTCCTCTTCCTCCCGCATTTCCCTCTCGTCCTTTACCTCGTCTTTCTCGTCCTCCCTCTCCTCGTCGCCATATCCCTCCTCGTCCTTTGCAAATGCTCCTTATCCTTTCCGCCCCCGTCCCCCTCTCCCCCTCCTCATCCCCTTTCCTCCCCCTCTTCGTCCTCTCCTCCGTCCTCTCCTCCTCCTCCTCCTCCTCCTTCTTCTCCTCCTCCTCCTCCTCCTCCTCCTGCTCCTCCTCCTCTTCCTCCTTCTCCCCAATATGCTGTTTTTTTCCGTCCTCCTCCTCCTCCTCTTCCTCCTCCCTCTCCTTGTGCCTCCTCTTCCTCGTCTCGGTCTTCCTGCTGCTCCTCCTCTCCCGCCTCGACGATTCCATGTCGTTCCTCCTGCTCGTCCTGCCATTCGGGCGCAGGACGAGCTGTGCGACGGCTTGATCATCCGCTGCGCAGCCGTTCTGGTGACCCTGCCGCCGCGACTGCACAGCCTTATGCCTCACGAATGCCTCGCGACCAAAAAACTACGGCCCGCTCATCAAAACTAATCGCACATGCGGCCCCGAAGGAAAGAGCAGGGAAGGGTCGGGCAATGCCTGTTGCTTGTTTCAATGGACTCATCGAGTGCCTCCTCAGCCAAACCGAGCCGAGGCTTACATGAGCAACTCAAAATATGCGCAGACCCCTGGCGTCGACTTCTGTGTCTGATCTTGATCCCGAAGTGCTCCCGACTACACCACCTTCCCATTGATCCCGACATCTGAACTGACGCCTGCATGCTTTGCTTCGCCCATCGTGGGGGCAAATCACGTTTCCGCCCGTCCAGAGCTCTCTCAGCCCCCACTCGAACCCACCGACCGTAAGAACCGTTGATTTCGCTATTCGACATGACCGCCGTCATTATCTACCCTGACATCATCCTCAATCACAGTCAGCGTGCTGTCAAAAGGAATGCTAGATTTATGTTGCTCCCATCGTACTTAAGGACCACATCCCAGAAACAATGTCGAGCACCCGGAAAAGTGCCGAGAGAGTGCCCAGAGAGTGTCGCAACAGCGTCGAAGGAGTGGCTCCCAGGGCCTGGCACGTGAGAACCCTTGAGCTTGTGGGTACCTTTTTCTGGCGCTCGAAATTCTTCCTGGTGATCAGGGCCGAAGTAGGTTGGAACATCATAAACATACGTTGGATCTCTGGGTTCGCTGAACCCCGTGTTGGGTCACCTAAGATGGAGGGGCCCTGGGACACACAAATAAATACACACGAATAAAAAAGGTTCCCCATACGTTCCCATATCTTCTTGTGATAAAAGGCCAGAGTAGGTTGGAGCATCATAACTCGAGGCTCGAGGGTCGAAGCTTCTGGGCAGCCTCCGCCCTCTCTGGGCCTCGGGAGGCCAAGGGCTGCTCTCTCGGCAGCCCTCGGGAGGCCTCTCGAGGCTCCTTGCAGGGACCTCCGGAGACCTCTGGTAGGGGGCCGAAAAAATGAACACCACCGCCACCTCCCTCCCCCCCTCCCTCTCGCTGGAAAGAGGGGAGGAGGGGGACGAGGAGGGGGAGGACGAGGAGGAGGAGGAGGAGCAGGAGGAGGAGGAGGAGGAGGACGAGGAGGAGGACGAGGGGGCGGAGGAGGAAGAAGGAGGAGAAGGAAAAGGAGGAGGAGGAGGAGGGGGGGGAATCGACGTAGTGCTGGTGTGCATCTTCTTTGGGCCCCCACTCCGGGGGGACCTGCTGGCGACCCGCGGGCCGACGAGGGCGAGGCTCCCCCCCGCCCCCCCAGAACAGGCTCGGTCAGGAACAGGCTCCCCGACCTGGGTTCGGTTTGGACGCCCGAAATGGGCACGGAAAGAGTGGGTAGAATGCACAACAATAAATGTTGTCCCAAACCATCAGCGGCCGCTGTTGGGCAGGAGGCCTCTTGTCTCGAATGGACACAGGCCGCGGCGGCGTGGACAGCGGGCCCTGTTCAAAATGAGCAGGAACTGCTGTTGGGCATTGTACCCATTCTTTCCGTACACATTTCGGGCACCCAGATTCGGGGAGATGTAAGACTCGGGTCCGGGGGACTCGGGTTGGCCGGATGGGGCCATCATGAAGACGACGAGACCCAGTCTGAAATTCGACGCGAGCTCGTGCTTCAAACACCCCATGACAAGCAGACCGTCAAAATCTGGGACGCGCTCGTCAAAAAACTTCGGCAAACCCGAGTTCCGGCTCACTCGAGTCGCACGATCCCGCGATAGGTGAAAAGAACGGCCTGAAAACCAGAAAACCCCAATATCTCGAAATACATATTTCAGCGTCTTGGCTGCAGCAGCCCTCCCGTTTGCAACCCCACGTCTCCTGCCCTTGTGCTCCGTGGGCGCGAAGCAGTGGGAGAGCTGCGAGGACACGCTGGCGTCGTCGAAGATCCACAGGCATGCGAAGACGGCACCCCGGGAAATCGTGTGCCAGCCAGCGATGCTGCCGACGAGCTGCCACCAGTGCTGGTCGAGCGGGCTGCTGATGTCCCCAGCGGCGGACCATCCGACGACGGGCACCGAGCCCAGGGCGTCGTCGATACCAGCCAGCACGTCCTCCTCGAAGCCCGGGGACGAGCAGACGAAGACCATGTCCGGCACCGAGCGACCAGCAGCTCTCTTCGCAGCCTCGGCGGTCTGCTTCCGGGCACTCCCGCTGGTAATGTCCTCCACGCTGCCGACGCTACACCGGTGCGCGAAGCTGCGGAGGCCCAGCACCTGTGGGTCACCCAAAAGGGTGTCCAGCTGAAAGGGGGTGGTGCAACAGATTTGGTGTAATTTTATCGCGAATGTATTGCGCCAGAGAATCGTGTCACACTGTGCTGCAACTAATGCACTGCACGCGAAACTCCAGCAAAACATGTGCGCATCGGAATGTTTTGCACGCCCCAGCTATTGCAATCCCACGCATTTATTGCACCATCCTCTATTCACAGAGATCCGATGCCATGATTTTTTCTCCATACGGGGCACCCAGACGACACGAACCTTCCCCCACGCCGCCTCTCAATCCCGAATCCTTTCTTGACGATCCTGGGGCCCGACACGGGCTTCTAGAGGGGCCGAGAACGGCGAAAAATCTCCGTCTTGATTTTTGACATACGTTGGATCTCTGGGTTCGCTGAACCTCATGTTGCTCCCATCCTACTTGAGGACCGCATCCCAAAAATAATTCCGAGCACCCAGAAAAATTCCGAAAGAGTGTTGAAACAGCGTCGAACGAGTGTCTCCCAGGGCCCGACACGTGAAAACCCTTGAGTTTGTGGGTACTTTATTTCTGGCGCTCGAAATTCTTCCTGTTGATCACGGCTAATGTAAGTTGGAACATCATAAACATACGTTGGATCTCTGGGTTCGCTGAACCCCGCGTTGGGTCACCTAAGATGGAGGGGCCCTGGGACACACAATTTATACATACACGCTAGTAAGACAAATCTCCCCCATATTTTCCCATATCTTCTGGGTTTCTGTCTTCCCCCCCCACTGCCCCTATTTTCTTGTACTTCCTGGGAAATCGACGACTCGTTGTGTCTGTGTGTGTGTCTTCCCCTCCTGGTAAGAGCACCCCGACGCTGCGGGGGCCGCTGGCGGAGAGCACCCCCCGGCAGGAGGTGCCGCCCACAACGAAGGCGGCGCCGGCCAGCGGGCGGAGCGCCCGCGCCACCTCCGCGGGCTCCACCGCGGGGTCGCAAAACACCAGGGCGACCGACGGAGGCCCCCCGAGCCGAGCCTGCATGGTCCTCCTGGGGCGTCGCGTAATGTTAGGAGGCAGCTGCTGGGAGGTCTTCGTCGAAAAAACTGAGGAGGAGTAAGCCTCATCTGGGTCGAATTAAGGCCCATTTTCGTCGGAATGTGACCTCCCAGGAGTTGCATCCGAAGTAATGGGAGAGCGACAAGTGGGGGCCCGAAAGGGCCCCTTTTCGGGCCCCATGGGGCACTTTCTCGGGCCCCCAAAGCACTGAGGGTACCCTTTTTCAGGGACCCTGGCAAGAGATGCGCGTGTCGGGCTCTGCAGGGACCCTTCTGGGCCCTGATGGGCCCCTCCAGGGGCCCTAAAAGGGCTGCTTTTTCTGCAGCGCTCGCTGCACCCTTCAATAAACGCACCTGAGAAAGGACTCGGACAGGGCAGGGCTGCTTCGTAAACGCCCAGGGCCGTTCAGCAAACGCCAATTATCCAGACCCCTGACGTCCTGTTTTTTCACAACGTCGACCTCTTAAGGTCTGGACCCCTTCCCCAGGACCGGCTTTTCGTCCTGGATCGTTTTCTGACGTTCCCGGGGCCTGGGGGAAGGCCCCCCGGAAGCCGAAAGCAGCGAAACACGTCCCGCCGTTTTGTTCCCAACCATCCTGTGGTCTTGGGTCCTCGTTTTGAAGAGACAGCGAAGCGCGTCTCACCTCCTCCCGTTGCCCCCTCCCCCCTCTGATCATCATCATCATCATCATCATCATCATCATCGTCCTCATCATCATCATCATCATAATCATCATCATCATCATCGTCAGCATCATCATCATCATCATAACCATCATCATCGTCATCATCACCACCATCATCATCATCACCACCATCATCATGATCATCAGCAGCATCATCATCATCACCATCATCATCATGATCATCATCATCATCATCCCCATCATCACCATCATCATCACGATTATCAGCCTTAGCATCATCAGCAGCATCATCATCATCATCATTCCCAACCATCATGTGGTGTTGGGTCCTCGTTTTGAAAAGACAGCGCCCCGCGTCACTCATTCCTTCCTCCCGCTGCCTCCTCCCTCCTCTTCCATCCCTGCGTTTCACACACCACGTACAGCGCTTCGTGGCCCCATAGGGAGCTCCACCGAAGGCGCCAGTGCCAGGGTTCGCATGGCGGCTTCGGGCCATTTCGGCACACCCCTCACGAGGACCGTGGCGCGATAGGAGCTCCACCGAAGGCTCCAGTGGCAGGGTTCGCATGGCGGCTTCGGCCCATTTCGGCACACCCCTCACAAGGATGGTGGCCCCAATAGGGAGCTCCACCGAAGGCGCCAGTGGCAAGGTTCGCATGGCGGCCTCGGCCCATTTCGGCACACCCCTCACGAGGATCGTGGCCCCATAGGAGTTCCACCGAAGGCGCCAGCGGCAGGGTTCGCATGGCGGCCTCGGCCCATTTCGGCACACCCCTCACGAGGATCGTGGCACCATAGGAGTTCCACCGAAGGCGCCAGTAGAAGGGCTCGCATAGCGGCCTCGGGCCATTTCCGCACACCCTTCACGAAGATTGTGGCCCCATAAGAGCTCCACTGAAGGCGCCGGTAGCAGGGCTCGCATGGCGGCTTCGGGCCATTCCGGCACACCCCTCACGAAGATCGTGGCCCCATAGGAGCTCCACCGAAGGCGCCAGTGGCAGGGTTCGCATGGCGGCCTCGGGCCATTTCGGCACACCTCTCACGAGGACCGTGGCCCCGTAGGGAGCTCCACCGAAGGCGCCCGTGGCAAGGTTCGCATGGCGGCCTCGGCCCATGTCGGCACGCCTCTCGCAAGGATCGTGGCCCCGTAGGGAGCCAGCTCCACCGAAGGCTCCAGTGGCAGGGTTCGCATGGCGGCCTCGGGCCATCTCGGCACACCCCTCACGAGGATCGTGGCCCCGAAGGGAGCTCCATCGAAGGCCCCAGTTGCAGGGTTCGCATGGCGGCCTCGGGCCATTTCGGCACACTCCTCACGAGGATCGTGGCCCCATAGGAGCTCCACCGAAGGCGCCAGTGGCAGGGTTCGCATGGCGGCCTCGGGCCATTTCGGCACACCCCTCACGAGGATCGTGGCCCCATAAGAGTTCCACCGAAGGCGCCAATGGCAGTCTCCCTCATGGCTCTCAGAACCCTTTCCTGCTTCTGCTCTTCGGTCAGGGGGACGCCGTCCTCGTTGTCGTCGGCGCCCGCGAAGACGGCCACAAACGTGTCCCTGAGCATGTCGGGCTCCGGCGGGAAGCCGTGGCCACATAGGGAGCGCGGGCGAAGATGGTATTCACAATTGCTGTATCCACAATTGTCTATGGTTGGGTCCTTCGCCAGGCTCATTTTTTCCACATCGCGAGGGGGCCGGGCCTTTGTGGGACCCGGAAACGGCAGGGCCGTTTTTTCACCGTTTCCCAAAGAATGTCCCTTGAAAATGGAAACGGCAAAAAGACGGCGACTGGAAACGGCAAAAAAACGGTTCCAGGAGTGGAGCCGGAGCCGGTTCGGTCCAAAAACAGCGACGGAACCGGTAAAACAACGGCGTCGGAACCGGCAAAAAAAAACGGCAACACGGAACCGGGGGAAAAAAACAGCCCTGTCGTCTCCAGGGCCCGCTAACGGCTGGGCATCGGGGTCGGGCTGGTTCCTGCTCCCGCCGTTTTGTTGTTCTCGACATCGCGAGGGGGCTGGGCATCAGGGTCGGGGTGGTTCCTCATCCCTTGGCTTCCAGGCGTCGGCGGCGGCCTGGGCGGGCGCCGCGCCGCGCTCGGAGGAGGTGCCCACTGCCACGCAGAGGCCCCCGCTGGCCTGGCCGCACGGCTCCCGGCCGCCGCACCGGCGCGGCGAGGCCGGCGAGGCCTGCGCGCAGACCTATAGGGGGCCACAGGCGAGCCCTACCCCGACCCCCCACGATTGCTGAGGAGGAGGAGGAGGAGGAGGAGGAGGAGGAGGAGGAGCAGGAGGAGGATGAGCAGGGTGGGGTTCACTTCGTTCGGGAGCTCCCGAGCGAAGTGAACCCCACCCTCCCCCTCAGAAATCGTGGGGGGCAGGGGTAGGGTTAACATGTGGCCCCCCAACACCTCCATGGGGGGCGCCTCGGTGACCTCCTGCGGCTGCACGCACGGCGGGCGTCTTCTTATGCGGCATCTCGACACTGGGCGGCGCAAGTGTGAAGGCATGATGATCTCCCTGTGCATCGAAGACTACAGTCGAACTCGATTGGACAGGACACGCGACAGGACACAAGATGGGTCGCGAGACACAGGACACAAGGGTACCCTTGATCTGGCAGGGTCGACCTACTAACCCGGGCCGACTGTGTGATGATCTCCCTGCGCATCGAAGACTAGTGCAACAAGAGGGAATAGCAACATGGCAAATCACTCTGTCCCGTGATTGAGGAGCCGTCACTCACCAGGATGACGAAGGCTTCGTCATCCTGGTGAGCTTGCGTGGCCCCTGGCACTGCGTGGCCCCTGGGACCTGATTTGGGAGCCTGCGTGGCCCCTGGCACTGCCCAATTTGGGCCTGATTTGGACCGGATTTGGAGCAAATTTGGACCGGATTTGGACCAGACCTGAACTGTATTCGTGGGGGCTACGCAGGAGAACGAGGAGGGGGAGAGGGAACAGGAGGGGAGAGGAGGAGCAGGAGGATGGGCCAAATGCGGTCCCCACGCTGTCCACATGCAGGAAGAGCTGAGTTCAATGTCGCCGCCCAGGGCTCCCATGAACAGACATCGAATGAAGCAGCAGCGTGGCAAAACAACGCTCTTGTCACCGGGCTAACCATCGCTCGGACGTCCATTCCCTGTGTTTTTTTTGGGGGGGGGGTCGTGCGTGGTTTTTCCGCCAAATGATCAAGGATGCTCCTCGATGGTCCTAGCCAAAGGAAAATGCACACGTCGGAGCGATGCCAGGCGGGGGGGGGGGCTCTGGCTCCGGAACTCTGCCAGGCGCGAGACAGTTTGCAGCAGCGCACCCCTACGGGGGAGACTCCACCGGCTCGAAGCCGGCGCCAAAACAGCCAAGATCTACAGTGGGGCCTTGACCTAAGGAACCCTAAATAAGGAACGAGGCCCCTTTTTTCCATAAATTAGCCTTCGATTTCCCATCGGAAACATAACGAAAACCCGAGGCAAGCCGTGAAACACTTCAGGAACGCGGAGCCCCTCCCCAACCAAAAGGGTTCCTTCTTGGGGGCCCCGACTGTACTCCAGGGGGGGAGGGAAGGAGGGGGAGGCTGCGAGGGTCCGCGCCGATCGGCAAAACAAGGAAAAAGGAGACGATCGCAAGAGTGCAGGGATCGACCCTAAACCGCGATGTTCGTTCTCGCTGTGGTTTCGCTCTGCCCCCGTCCTGTCTTCGGCTTCAAATCGGAACATCGACACGACGACGGCCCACGAGGTCGCCAAAACACCGTTTAGGTCGATCCCTGTAGGAGTGAACCTCTGATATAGTGACCTTTAGTGTATGGCCTTAGGGGGTGTTTTTTGGGACATTATTAAGCGTGCAAGCGGCTGTGCCATCGCATCGCATTTGGCGATTGGGCGGCCCCACTGGGGCCGCACCAAGTGTCGCTTCAGCGACAGGTTTTTCTTACAATCGGACCTAAGACATAATAACATCGTTCAAGAACATGAGACCCTCCGCCGGCCAAAACTCACAGAACATCCCAGGCTACCCTCCCGAGGATGGACAAAAACATCCAACGAACACACGAAGACCAGTAGGGTACCCTGCCCCCAACCGACCTCGACCTTAGACCTCGGCCCGACCGCACGTGCAACCGACTCCTGCAAGGTCCTCTCCAGGACCTCCTCCAGCCGGCCCGCGCTGTCCCAGGACACCTGAGCGACAAAAAGAGGAGGGCTTTACGCGAGATGGCGCAGCGACCTCACGCGGTGACCCGCGCAGGCCACCGGCACGGCACGCCACGGTGGCGACGATAGCGCCCTCACGCGCGACCTTGCGCGGGCAGCTCACGCGCCAATGTCGGCGCAGACGACCACGGTTTTTTTCTTGCGTCGCCCACCTCGCACACGCGCACCTCGGCGTTGCCGAACACGGTGGGCAGCCTGCCCCAGGGCTGAACCTGAACGGTGTTTGTCGTTTCCGTTTTGTTTTAGTTTTCCCTGGCTTTTGTGTCGAATCCGCCCTTACCTTATGTTGCTCCCATCGTACTGAAGGACCACATCCCAGACCACATCCCAGAAGTAATTTCGAGCACCCAGAGAGGTGTCGAAAGAGTGTCGAAACAGTGTCGAAAGAGTGTCTCCCAGGGCCCGACACGTGAAAACCCCAAGGTTTGGGGTGTTTTCTCGGTGCTCGACATCCATCCTGGCGATCAAGGCTAATGTAGGTTGGAGCATCATAACCCTTACCGCAAAACGAAGCCGAAGCAATAACGGCCCACGATACCGCCAAGAACACCGTTCAGGTCCAGCCCCAGCCTGCCCCCCTCGAGGCCCAGCGCCCCCCGCAGCGGGCCCCGGGCGAGCTCGCGCAGGAAGCCCTTGTGGGTCACCACGGCGATGGCCTTGCCCTCGTGGCGGGAGAAGAAGTATGCACGTACACTAATGCTGGCCAGGCCCATCCTGAGCCCAGGATCGGTGCATACGCCCTCCTGCCTTGGCCAGGAAGGCGCATGCACCGATCCTGGGTCCAGGATGGGCCTTGCCAGAATCGGTGCACGTGCATAGTTCTCTTCGCCCGACCTCGTGCGCCTGCACCGCGTCGAGGAGGCAGGCGGCCCTCTGGCCCACCTGCACGACACTTCGCGGAGGGGATCGCCCAGAGCAGAGAGCAGAAGATCCGCGCTCAGGACATGGTCGGACTTGATTGGAGAGGACACGCGAGATGGCACAAGACCAATCCGGGGGCCGCGCTGCCACAGCAATGCAGGAGGCCTGGGTCGCAAGACACGGGACACGAGGGTACCCTTGCTCTGGCAGGGTCGACCTGCTAATCCCGGCCGCCTGTCCTCCCCCCGGCACGCGAAGCCGTTTAACAAATGCACCTAAAGAAGGAATCGAACAGGACAGGACTGTCTAGTAAACGCCCAGGGCCGGTGAGTAAACGCCGACCATCGGGTCCGGGTGGTTTTCCCTCCCTTGATGCAGACTTGATTTGCTCCAAATTTGATTTTGCTCGTCGAGTTTGCGAAAGATGCGTCGGGAATGTGCGTAGATCTACGTAACATGCTACATCGTTGCTCGCAGACTCGACGAGCAAATCAATTCTGGGGTAGATCAATTCTGTAATCGATCCCCTACTCGAACGATCAACATCCGGTCTTACGCGAGATGGCACAGCGACCTTACGCGGCGGCTTACGCGGGCCGCCCGCGTGGCAAGCCACTTTGGAAACGAGGGCGCTTGCGCGCGAGCCTACACGGGCAACTTACGCGCCAATGTCGGCGAAGACAGCCCCGTTTTCTTGTGTCGCTCACCTGCTCGTTGGTCTCCCGGAGCTGCTCGCGGAAGCGGTGGCCGTCGGGGCCAGCCGCGTCCTCGGCGGCAATGTCGCTGACGTCCACGTGCGGGAACTCGCTCTCGATCTCCCGCGCGGGCTTGCGCTCGTCGCAGGCCTCGCCCGTCCTCTTCTCCCTCAAGAACTCCTGCGCGCACACGTTCTTGTGCCCTGGGAAGAGCGTGGACGCCGTCTGGAGTGCCCGCGTCAGAGGCGAGACTAGGACCACCTCGGGAGCGACGTAGTGGGTGCTGCCCAGGAGCTCCTGGAAGGACGTGGCGGCCATCTGCACCTGCTGGAGCCCGTCGGTGCTGAGGCAGGCGTCCAAAAATGCGGGGTCGTGCAGGGCATGCTTGCGCGCCTGCTCGACCTCCAGATCCGTGCAACCGCACCTCCTCGCCTCCAGCTGGGCCTCCCGCTCCTGGAAGGAAACGCCGCGTGAAGAGAAACCTCTGGAGCTCCGCGCGGACTTCCCGGATGCGCGCCGGACCCCCCTCCCCGGCGCGGCGCACGGAGCGCGGCAGGGGCGGCCGAGCGCCGATCCAAGACATGCGCGCGGAGCTCCGAAAGCTCATGCTGACTTGTGCAGGTCTTCGCTTCGGCGCCCATTGGCGCTGGATCGGCGATGCCGCACCGGTCACCAAACGCTAAGTCCACAGGATGCGCTGTAGAGACGGAAAGCGCGAGGGCATGCGAAGCTCTCACGACTTGCTACCGACCGCTCCCAGGGCCGCCTCCGCGTGCCAGATCTCTCCCAGGGTGCGTTCTGCCTGGGATTTCGAAGCGAATCCAGCCGTGGCGACGAGGGCCTCCCAGGAAACCCAAAAAGGCGAAAACACGGGAAAAGTAATGGTATCGGTACCCTTTTGAAAGCAATGTTTTACTTGCGGCGATACCTGGCGTCATGTGGGGGGGGGCAATGGGGGGGAGAAAATGCCCCACCCCCGCCGCGCGGGTCCGGCACCACAGACTGCGGTGCTGGACGCACCGCGGCGGTGAGGGGACGCTGTGGTATCGGGGGAGGAGCGTTACTTCCGGGATGGACAGAACCCCCTTTAGTAAACCTCCCCTTAGTGAAAACGGCCTGGGACCGAGACCGACGGACCTGGACCCGCAAGAATGACGGCCGCGACGCCCTCTCGCGAACAGAAAACGGCCAGTTCACTAATCGACGTGTCGGGGTAGGAGGTCTATCAACCTCCGATGACGTTTATCAGGGGGGAAGCAGGGCGGGGGGGAGGGGGGGGGAGGCAGACCGCGCGGTTTGGACCAGAGGGCAACGAGAAACGGAGCGTGGGGGACACGGGTCCCGAGGGAGACGGGTGCCTGACCCTGGGGCCTTCCTCCAGGACAAGCTTCAAGTCGGGCCTGTCCCCCTACAGGCCGATTTTGGACGAGAAACTAGAAACACCCCAGAAATACCGTAGACATGCTCAAAAATTGTCAAAAAATAATCCCCGGACTATTTTTGACTACTTTTGGATATTCCCCCCTGTAGAGGGACAGGCCCGACTTAAGACAAGCTCTTCATCCTGAATCAGGGCTCAAACGACTGGGGTCAATGCAAACGGGGGTCAGTCAGAGCACCGGCTCTTGCAGGATCCCGCAGGGCCAGGGCTGCACTGACCCGTGCTTGGGCGCAGGAGTCTGCAGGATCCTGAGGACTTTGCAGGATCCTGCAGAGCCTGACTGACTCGGGTCTGGACTGACCCCCGGGTCAGGGGGTCCTCGACTGAAGCGTGTTCTTGCCGTCGCTCGGGCGTCCATTTCCCGTGCATTTTTCAGTTTCGAGCGTGTGTTCTTTTTGGCTCGATGGTCCAGGATGGTCCTCGATGGTCCTCGCCGAAAAAAAAAGGCACACGTCCGAGCGATGCCAAGTGTTCTAGCAGTCCCGGAGCCCGCGCAGGGCTCCGCGAGCTCGAACATGGGGAAAAGCCTCGGGACCCGTCTCCCCCAGGACCCGCTTCTCGGCGGCGAGCCCGGAGGGCAAGTGAGAAGGGGCGGGCCCTCTCGGAAGCCCCGGAGAAGCCTCGGAAACCTCCTCCCGAGGCACAAGAATACAGTCAAGACGTGTATGAAGGACGGGTGGTAAGGTCGCAAGACCCTTGGAGGCTGGAGCTGGATTTCTGGGGCGGGGGGCGGCCATTGAAAACGGCGAAGGACGGGCCGCAGAGGCAAGGACTCAAGGGTACCCTAGATGAAGGCACGCGTCCTTACTAGGCGCGTTGACTGTACTTCTCAGAAGACCGGAGGGCTTCTGTCGGCTACACGCACGAGTGACCCTGGGTAAGAGTGACCTCCGGTGCGCGGGTTCTTGGGGGCCGCGGGGGGGGACCGAACAAAAGCGCGCAAATGCCACTATCGCATTGCGTTCGGCGATCGGCGATCGGGGGACCCCAAATGGGCCCGCCCTACAGGTCACTCCAGCGAAAGGTCACTCCTACGTCTGGTCGATTCTGAGCAGCCCCGCCTTTCCCCAGGAACAAGGAAAAGGCTTCACCAACACCACCAGGGCTCGGAGATGCCAGGAGGCAAGGGGGGTCTCCCTGGTGGTGTGGCCCCCCCTCCCGCTCGAGACCTCCCCGGCCTCCAGCTCTGGGAGGCACCGTGGACCTCCCAGAGCTGGAGGTGGCCCCCCCGGTGGTGTTGGTGCCGCTTCTCCTCCGTCCGACTCGCCCCCTCGCTCGCCGCCGAACCGGGGCCCCCTGAATGCACACGTCCGAGCGATGCAAAAAGCCTCTCCCCACGCAGCGCTCTGAGCTCCCTCACGTTGTGGGCCGCCTCCGCGTGCCGCACGAGGTACACGAGCTTGCGGCTCCCCGCGCTCCAGTCCGCCGGCCTCCCCTGGCTCAGGGGCGAGGGCAGCCTCTCCAGCAGCCGCGCCGCGCGGGAGTGCACGGACAGGAACCTGTCGCTGGCCATCGCTCGGACGTCCCCTCTCCCTGTGCTTTCTGCTGAGTCGTGGGTGGTTTTCTGGCCAACTGATCAAGGATGCTCCTCGATGGTCCGCGCCGAAGGAACAGAGGCGCACGTCCTGGCGATGCCAAGGTCGTCGGCGGCGGGCGAGGGGGGAAGTGAGAAGGAGGAGGCCTTCTCAGAAGGCGGCGGGGCTGCTCAGAAGCCCTTGCGCCGTCCAGCAAGCTCTCTGCGTCTTCGGGGAGGGCCGAGGAAAAACCTCTCCGGAGGCCGGGGGGCTTCCGAGCCTTCCGAGACGGCCTTCTCCGTCTCACTTCGCTCGCCCCCAGGCTCGCCGCCGAAATAGGCGTTCGACGTCTCATCCATGGCAAGAATCACGACGGAGGGTGCGTCTCCATTTTCAGCCTCTGGGGGCCCTGCCCGGGCCTCGGGGCCCTCAACAAAAAAAGAACGGCTCGGGATGAGAAGCCGGCCCCGAGGAATGGGTCGAGACCTCTGGGGGTCGGCGCTGTGAACAAAAGCAAGACGTCGGTGGTCCGGGTCCCCAGCTGCCCCGGCCCGCAGTACCCAACCCGTGGCGGGTTGACGCGGAGCTCAACTTGTAGACGGAACACGTACAGTCGGGGCGTTGACCCAAGGAACCCTAAATAAGGAACGAGGCCCCTTTTTTTCGATAAGTTAAACTTCGATTCCCCATCGAAAACCTAAGGACAACCTAAGGCAAGCTGCGAAACAATTAAGGAACACGGAGCCCCTCCCCAACGAAAAGGGTTCCTTGTTTAGCGCCCCGACTGTAGGACAGACGCGACGGGCTCGCCAAACCGCGGGCCAGCGCGTGCCGGGCCAACACGCAGCGTGTGAGCCTCGACGTTTCGAACACGGTACGGTTTGCGCTCCAACACGGGCACCAGCCCCACCCCACGAGGCGCCAGATTGTTCGCCTCCAGGGCCGCGTTCTTCATCCATGCCTTGCCTTCCTGGCGCCCAGACTCGAGGCCGGCATCAGGGGTATGGATCGAGCGTCGATCGTCGAGAACCCTGGATGAGGCTTCATGGGAGCGTCTGTGGACCTCCACAGCCCTATCATTAATGTGATATCGATCGGACTTCGTGCGGATTCCGACTACCCCTCTTCACCCCTTCATTTAGACTTCGCCAGATTCTGTCCAGACGTCGACCAAAAATCCCACCAAATCCAGAAGGATCTCCAACACCGCTAGAAATGTTGTCGAACGTCGACCCCCAAAGGTCTTGCCTCGTTCCTTGGGTCCAATTTCTCAATTGTTTTCTGACGGCCATGGGGCCCACCGAGGGCCCCCCTGAGGCCGAAGATGGCCGAACACCTTCCGCCGTGATAGGTTCATTACCCGAATGGGTCTGGGGATCGAACGTCGACCGTCTCGGGGACGCACTGACACGGGCCATTCTCTTTGCAGGGTCAAGTCAGGCTTTGCAGAATCCCGCAAGATCCTGCCAGATCCTGCAAGATCCTGCGCGCAAGCCCCCAGTCAATGCACCCCACGCTCTGCAGGATCCTGCAAGACTTGGCGCCCTGGCCGAGCCTCCTTTGCAATGACCCCCGTCCCCAGGCTCCCGACCTCAGCCGGGCGTTGCGACTTGTGTTCCACGCCGGCATCTTTTCATCGACGGCCTTCGTCTACGATCCCACGCTGCACACAACTGCGACACCGTTGGCAAGCACGGCCGCAGCCCCCGACCCCATCTTCCTGCCTCATGGTGCTCGAGCCGCATCGGTCCATGAGGACCCTGGAGCCCAGAAGAGGGCGAACATGCTCGGCTCGAAGGCATGGAGCATGGAGAGGCCAGGATCTCGGGGTCCGCCCTCCCCCTTCGTCCTGGAGAGCAGAGCCACCGCCCCCATGGGAAACACCCCGAAGAGCGAAGCCGTTTAGTAATTCGAGTAGGGGATCGGACACACGATTGTTTTACCGCAGAAGCAGCTTGCTCGCCGAATCTACGAACAAGTAGATCGAACCCCACACATTTTACGAGCATTAAAAGTTTTCGTCGTAGATTCGAGGGGGAAAATCGATTCTGGGGCAAATCAAATCTGTAGTCGATCCCCTGCTCGAGCAACTGCACCGAAGGCAAGACTCGAACTTGGCAGGGCTGTTTCGTAATCGCCAATGGCCGCTGCGCAAACGCCAAGTGTGGGGTCGATGCAAGACCCACGGGGTCATGAATTGTTCCCAAAAGTCGCGACCCACTCCCCGGGACCAATTTTGCATCCCGAGTCGTTTGCCGACGGTGTCGAAGACTATTCAGGGCCCCCCCGAGGCCAAGTACGACGAAAAACCAGCCGCCGTGCCCGACGCGAGCATGTCTGTGAAGCTCTCAAGGTCGAGCCCCCTGGCGTCGCTCGTCGAGAATTACGGGGTGCCGATGCCAGCGGTGCCCACGGAAAGATCTTCGATTACCACATGTCGACCAAATCCAACCATGTCCAAGAGACATCTCCAACGCCGCGAAGAGCTCATGATCGACTAGGGAATCGACCACATAATTGACGAATCTGGAAACTGTCTTGCGCGCCGAATCTACGAAACAATACGCAGAATGCTCGTCGATTTACGGGAGCTCCACGCTTTCTGCATGGATTCGACGAGGGACTCATTCGGGGGTAAATCGATTTTTGATGGGCAACGATAGGGGGGGGGACTGGCGTAGGGGGGGTGCATCGACCTGGAATCGGCGATACATCCATCGCCGGTAGATCGTCGATAGGCCCCGATAGTGATTCCGCACCTTCCTGGGCGGGTTGGGGCTATCGGGCCCCTATCGCCGATCAATAGGCGATTGGGGGTCGACGCATCCCCCCTAATTAGGTATCCCCCCTATCGTTGCCCCCGAATTCTGTAGTCGATCCCCTCCTCGAATCCAACTCCGCCTCTGCTGGCCGGGCTCACACGCCAAGGTCCGGTGCGCACGCCTGCCCCGACCCCCGACGCCGTGCTTTTTGTTCGCCACGTGGACCCCCAATGGTCTCGGACCCCTTGTTCGGGACTGGCGCTTCTCATCCTGATCTGTGTGCTGACGGCCCCGAGGCCTGCTGAGGTTATTTTTGATATTTTAAATCGCGAGCGACACGGTCCGACCGCGCGCCGAACGTATGAAGGCAACTGAGCCAATGACTAAAATAACCGCGGGCAACAGAAGCGAGCCACGCTGCAGCTCAGGGGGCGATGAGGACGCAGGAACGCAGGAATAACAAAACGAAACACCATCCGTCGTGCCTTTCCGTCGCGAAAGGGGGTCTGGATCCTTGGCCTGGCCACAAGGAACACCTGGCTTTCTCACCCTGCTAAGAAACTGGGACACACAAGTAAATCTATACAAATAGCTTGATTCCCTCTTCTTTCTTATATTATCAAAGTTTTCGTCTTCCCCACACTTCCAATATTTTCATACATATTCTCTGGGGGATCGACGATTCATTGTGTCTGTGTGTTTCTTCCCCTCCTGAGGTCCCGAGGCCTGTTGAGATTACGCGGAGGCCGAACAAAACGAGACACATCCCGTCGTGTTTTTTCCCGTCGCCAAAGGGGGTCTAGATCTTTGGCCTGGCCAGAACTGCCATCGCTCGGACGTCCATTCCCTGTGTTTTTGTTCGATGTAGTGCGTGGCTTTTTCGCCACATGATCAAGCATGCTCCTCGATGGTCCTCGCCAAAAGGAACAATGCACACGTCTGAGCGATGTCAGGAGAAGGAACATCTGGCTTTCTCACCTGGCAGGTTACCCTCGATCTCGGCCCTCGGGGGCAACTGTCGGGCCTCGGGACCTTCAGACACGGAGCCGGGACGAAACACGATCCCCAGGGAGGTGGTCTGGACCTCGGGGCCGCGAGTCCCAGGGAACTTGTTTTTCGTCGGCGGCGGGAGGAGGCAGTCCGCTCCAGCGTGTGGATATTCGGGGCAACCGAAAGGCGAATTGTCCGCCGTGAAGGACATGGGCGGCCGCGCGGGGGGGAGGGGGAAGTGAAATCGCTCAAACGTGGAACAATTCCGCGGTGAGCAGGCCAGGCGGCCAGCCGGGACCATCAGACGCGGAGCTGGGACGAAATACGTCCCTAACAGACAGGTGCGAATTGTTTTTTTAAACTGATTCCTGGGGAAGAGCGGGCACGGAGGGGAGACGAGGCCAGAGCTGGGCGGCTGACCAGGAGACGCAGAACCGCCGGGGGGAGACTTGGGGCCCACCGGCCCTCTTATAATACTAATGAAGGGCACCCCTTTGCTCCAGGGCGTAGGGGCGTAGATGCGCCGTGCGCCACATTTTAATTTGAATTATGATAGGAGTGGGGGCGGCGAACCCGTGATCGCCGATCCGTGTCGTTTGATGGGGTCCGGCGCCCGACCGCGGTGGTTCCGGCTTGGTTCCACGATGGTTGCGAAATGTTGACATGTCACGAAACTTTATGAATTCACAGTGTTCCTGCTTGGTTCCACGATGGTTCCACGATGGTTCCGACGTCGCAAGTGTGACGAAACCCTATGAATTCTCAGGGTTCCTGATTTGTTCCAACTTGGTTCCACGATGGTTCCGACGTCGCAAGTGTGACGAACTTCTGTAAATTCACAAGGTTCCTGCTTGGTCCACGATGGTTCCACGATGGTTCCGACGTTGCAAGTGAAACGAACCCCTATGAATTCTCAAGGTTCCTCCTTGGTTCCACGAAGGTTCCACGATGGCTGCGACGTTGCAAGTGTGACGGAACCCTTTGAATTCACAGGGTTCCTGCTTGGCTCAACGACGGTTCCAAGATGGTTCCGACGTCGCAAGTGTGACGGAACCCTATGAATCCACAGGGTTCCTGCTTGGTTCCACGATGGTTCCACGATGGTCGTTGCAACTGTGCGGAAACTCTATGAATTCAAAAGTATCGTGCTTGGTTCCACGGTGGCTCCACGATGGCTCCGACGCAACACGTGTGACGAAACCATATGAATCCACTGGGTTCCTGCTTGGTTCC